ACTTTTGTGAACATAAATTTTATTTCTTTGTAAAATATTTCTAAAATCATTCAAAGCATAGGGCTTCCTGATGTCACTCATCTGACATTGAGTAAGGTTTGATGAACATTTGATAAAGGTTTCTTTCCACTATTCACATTATAGAGAACCGTTTTATTGTATGAGTACTGGGGAAATAATTAACAATTGAGTTTGATTCTTTCATGAATTTTCTGACACGCTCTATATTTTGAGCCTTTTGTAAAGAATTTTTAAATTTCTCTACGTTTGTTAAGTTTCTTCACATTAGTGAAACTCTGCTAGGCTTGACTATCTGAGGACTCCATAATATTTGTCACATTCTTAATATTGTAAGCGTTCTCTCTAGTATTGATTATGTGATGATCTTCTAGATTTAAGAACCCAGATAAGGTTTTCCCATATGCTTTGTATTTGTATGCTTTCTCTAATGTATGGTTTAGTGAGTTTTTTGCAGAGATCATCCATGGGAAAACTACATAATACAAAACACATTCATTTCATTACAATTTTAAGGGTTCTGCATTCAATGGGTCTTTAGTGGCCTTGAACACATGAATCATGGGCAAAGGAATTGCCACAATCTGCATACTTTTTAAATTTCTTCTCCATTATGGATTTTATGATGAACTTAAAGTGTTGAGGACCTGGTAAAGTATTTGCCTCATTCTTTTCATCTGCAAAGTTTCCCTCCTATGTGTACTTTGTGATGTCTTTGTAGATGTGAGTTCTGCTGAAAGGATTTTCCACATTCTTTACATCTCTAAGGTTTCACTCCTATATGTATTCAATGATGATCATAGACTCTTGAGCTCTATAAAGGAATTGCCACATACGTGGGTTGTAATGTGATTAACTATTTTTACTGTGATTATATTTAACCGTTAATTTCCACATATAAGTGAGTACAACCTGTTTGTTTATGTGCTTCTTGGTCTTCTCACAGAAGATAATAAAGACCGCAAGTAACTAGACAACAACAAACAAAGAAATGCAATTATAATGATGTATATCTCTAAACAGAATTGTCAGTAGAGGTATCTAAAGTGGCTGAAAAAGACTTAAGAAATGTTTAACATCCTTAGCCATCAGGGAAATGCATATGGAAACTAATTTGAGCTTTCATCTTACACTTATAAGAATGGTTAAGATCAATAACACAAGTGACAGCTAGTGCTATGAAGGACATGGAGCAAGGGGATTCATTGCTGTCACAAGTTGAAATGTGTACAGGCACTGGGGAAATCACTATGCAATTCTTAGAAAATTGGGAGTCAATCTACCTCAAGACCCAGCTATACTTCTCTTGTGCATATACCCAATGATACGCCTCCATCCTACCAAAAGAAAAATTGTTCATCTAGGTTCTATCTGTCTTTTACCTGATTGCATAGACTATTCTGGCATTCAAGTCAAAGGCAGATATATCTGCACCTGACTTTGGCATGTTGGGGTTAAAGTCATAAGACAATACACCCAGCTTGTCCATTTTATTTTCTTCTCTGTAGTTAGTTATTATTCATATATTTTCTCTTATGTGTACTCTGTATTGTTCATCAGTTTCCTTGTCTCTATGTTTTTAATAGGCATTTTTCTTGTAAGGTGGTATCCTATTCAAAGGGAACAGAAATGACAGAGGTTACCCTCCTAGTCAGTTTCCTTTAAAAGTGACTTGGTGGTTACATTATACTATGTATGTCAGAAAATAAGCATGAGGAGCATCAAAATTGTATGAATATACTATCAAGGAAGTATACATTTATAATGTTCTCAGTATCATGCTTTCTGCTGTACATATGTATGGGATCTTTTAGAATGCAGTGACCTATGGTGATGTGCATATCAACTTCACTTGGGAAGAATGGACTTTGCTGGATCCTTCCCAGAAGATTCCCTACAAAGATGTGATGATTGAGACCTACAGGAACCTCACTATTATAGGTAAGACAGTGTATTTTCCTTCACATTTTAAAATAAGGGGTCAACTGTTCTTGGTTTTGGGTGATCCTGTATAATTTGATTGAACAAGAAGAGTGTGGTGAATAAATCAGGCATGTTTCTAAGATTCACTGAAGATAGTAACAAATTTTGCAATGCTTTCAATAATATACTTTTTCTCCTACTTTATTTTAGGATACAGTTGGGAAAATGATAATATTGAAGAACATTTTCAAAATTCTAGAAAGCTGGTAAAAATATGCCTGTGAAGAAATTATATTGTGTCCTGGAAATTTTAAACACAAGCAGCAGTGTAAATAAGTACTGCTTAAAGCTCATTGATGATTAATAATTTCTCACAAAACCATAAACCTCAATTTCAGGTTGGTGAATTGCATTTGCAAGGCATTCTTTTTAAGAACAATGTCAGTTACTGGCGAGATGGCTCAGAGGTTAAGAGTACTGGCTGCTCTTCCAGAGGTCCTGAGTTCAATTCCCAGTACCACATGGTGGCTCAAAACCATCTATGAGATCTGGCGCCCTCTTCAGGCATGCAGGCAACAAACAGGAAGAACATCGTAGACATAATAAATAAATAAACCTTATTAAAAAACTGTAATAATAAAAAGAACAATGTCAAAAAAAACAATTCCTCAAAAGATATCCCATTAAAATAATAGCTTCATGAGAGCTATGCTGTAGAACTGTCAATCTTTTAATTTCATAACATTCATATTACAAAAGTTTCAGTGAAGAAGTGATAAGTATACTGTCAAAGCTTTCTATTAAGCAAATAGTTCATAGTAAAGCTAGTGTAACTCATATACTTGTACCTGTGTTGTTTAGTGAGTGGGGCAGTTAGAGTCAAAAGTCAAGGGATTTTGTTGAGGAGAAACCTTAATCCCTATACCACAAGTCTATGAGGACAAAAAGTCAAACAGAATTCAATGTGGAAATCTATTATCTGTTATTCTTCCTTTACTAGTTGTATCATATGTCCTTCTGGAGACAAGCCATATGAGCATAAGGATAGGGAAGACATAACATACCTCATTCTCATAACAATGAGAACATATGTAGCAGTCTCCACATTGAGTATACTTGTTGAATTTGATTCAAGTTTACAAGTAATTAATTTTCTAGCTTCATTGCTAATATATTAACAAGCTCACACTACAGAGAAGCCCTATGAGTACTAGGACTGCATAAATAAAACATGGGTGTAAAAACAATGATGAAATCTTAAGAACTGATTCCACTTTAAAATTAGATCAAATTGGCCGGGCAGTGGTGGCTCACACCTTTAATCCCAGCACTTC